CAGCACCGTTGTGATAATCAGATTTTTTAAAAACATATTGTGTATATTAATTGTGTTTGCATTTCTTGTTTATTAGAATATTATTATATTCTATGGAGCTATAGATTTCAATGACACGATGGAGGCACTTACAACTTAAACTTTACTTTTCCGATTTCAAGGTATACGCAACCACACAGCGCCACCTAAAGCATTAGAAACTGGGTTGTCCTGCAATTGTTGTCTTATGCATAACATTTCCTCCTAACTTAAATCAAAGGTGGTCGTTCACAACAAAGGGGTATTTCCTTTCTTGAATTCAACTTTAACTACAGTTTAGCGAGCATATCTTATTCAAACTATTACGCAAGAAATTCTCCATCATTCCTTCCATTTTTCCCCTTTCCTGTAGTCACGAACAAGGACGGAGCACGAAATTCTTGGTGTCGAAACTACTGAGCATTCTGGGACTGACTCACTGTGTTTTGGCGAGACTAGGTTTTAGAAGATCCAGCTGGGTTCGTAGTTTGCACTCAAGGAAAAGCATTGCAGGTGACTCCTTTGTAGTAGCATGTGGAGTGTTCCTGTATGTTAACAGGAATCCATCAAGTCTCTTTTGGATTGGAGCTGAACCTCTGGAAGCTTTTAGAGTGTGTTTGAGTGTTTGGACAAAACGTTCAGCTTGCCCATTACTAGAGTCGTGATAGGGCGCAGAGCGGATATGTTGCACCCCATTTGCCTTCAGGAAAAATGAAAACTCCTCAGCACAAAACTGTGGGCCACTGACAATGACATTAGGGACACCTGAGAGTCAGTGGTCAACAATGGACAAATGGTGATGGGATCAGTCTGTGATCAATGACATGCTAATATCATCATTCTTCCCTTCCACAAATGGTACCTGGCAATTGTCTTTGCAGGCTTATCTCCTAGCCCACCTAGTTCCTTGATTGTGGATCTTCTTTTGGAGGTGTGAGTTTTAGAGTCCTGTCCTTTTCATCATGGCAGATGAAAGGGGACTCCTGTTGTGATGAGGGGTGTCTGCTATGGAATGACAAATTTAAGAATCGGTTTAAGATCTGCTGATCCTATATCCTGACATAGCATCACATAAAAAACTAAGGTGAACTACACTGTATTTGGCATTCAAGGTGATGGCATCATGTTTACTGATAGAGTTTCCAGAGAGGGGGGTTTGTCAGTCTTCGATCTTCCTACAGAGTCAAACTATGTGTTAATGTTTACATAATCTTAGTCCTTGTAACCAGATGGTGCTCAAACCGTTTGATAATATTGTCAAAGTCATTGATCCTGTTGATTGAATTCTTTTGAGATAGGTCTGCTGGAGTTTCACAACCAGGCTATCCTTAAAAATATTTTGGTTTGCAGTAACAGCAAAAAAAAAAAAAAAAAAAAAAAAAAGGGTCGGCAGGTAGGTCTATTTTTTTCTTTTCAAGATTCAATGTAAAAAAAAAAGGATAATTTTGGTCATGGTGATTACGTCGGTATGAATTTAAACAAATTTACATATCGTGACGTCACTGCCCAGCCAGCACAGCCATGTGGGGCCCACGTGGGTTTGACGTGGGCTATCTAACTGGGACCCAGCCAGTTTTGCTCCCGGTTTCCATGTAGGCCCCACATGGGTTTGCCCAGATGAACTGAACACTGCTCAGTGTGCACACTACAGGCTGTTAAATGTAACACATATCAGTGTTGGAGTTAATGAGATAATTAAGTGATTGAATAATGATTGAGCATTATTGAAGACACCTAAAGCAGAATCACTGAAGGAGAAAATTGTAAGCCACCGTTATGGCGATCATTGTTTGCTTTAGTTGGGCTCTTGACCCTTATATTATTAACTTTAGATTTTGTTTGGCTGTTGTTTCTGACTTATAACTGGCAGATGAACAGAAAAAAAAGTGATGTAATGGTGTTGGTTATATTATGACAGTCATCATTTGAACTTTATGTTTAGTGATTTATGTTGTTGGTTACAGCATAACTATGATTCTGCATAAATATCCAGAATTTTTGTTATAATATAAAGGAATTCTTTTAAAAGTTGTTTTACAAAAAAAAAAAAAAACTTTCTTTTAGGCACACCCAGACATCAAGATTCAGTCAATGCATCTCAACAATGGTGACGAGCAGAATATTCAATTAGGAAAAGTAAATTACATAGACAATTCAGATCATAATTTATTCATACCGCAATGCATGATGGGAGCCATTAATGAGTTGTGATTGGTGGCAGCCACTGCAACATGCATTATTATTGTCACCAGTGTTGAGATTCACAGGCTGATTATTGATGTCTGTGTTTCTAAATAAATTAATTTGAAAGTGTTTTGATCAGAACAATGTTTATGAAATATTTTTGATTAAAAATAATACTGATAGCCGTATGCTGTGGAATCACAAAGCTGTTGCTAACAAGTTGAACTAGATAATCTCAAGAAGTTTCATTTATCCGATCACAGCATGATTATGCCAAAACATAACCAACACTATCAGATCACATTTTTCTTTGTTTATTTGACTGTTATAAATCAATAACAGCAGACAAACAAAATTAAAAGTGATAGTCTAAGGGTCAAGAGCCCAACTAAAGCAAACACTGATCGACATAACGGTGGCTTACAATTTATGATTTTCTCCTTTAGTGATTCTGCTTGTTAACATCAGGTGTTCATCAATAATGCTCAATCATCACTCAATCACTTAATTATCTCATTAACTCCAACACTGATATGTGTTACATTTAACAGCCTGTAGTGTGCACACTGAGCAGTGTTCAGTTCATCTGGGCAAACCCATGTGGGGCCTACATGGAAACCGGGAGCAAAACTGGCTGGGTCCCAGTTAGATAGCCCACGTCAAACCCATGTGGGCCCCACATGACTGTGCTGGCTGGGTGACTGGGTCTTCAACCCATGTCTTCGGGCGCACCATTGCGAACCTCATTCTGATACAGGTTATAGACCACAAACAATTTGAAATCTTTGTCAAAAAAAACATATTTATTGCATTAATTCCAGCTGCATTCATTTGGAAAAAAAAATAGGCAGAATCAAAAAAAAAAAAAAAAGGAGCCACTAGATTTCAATGAAAGTGGATTTTCAGAGGGAAACAAATAAATTAAAATGACTAATCTCACCAGCGCTGCGCCGACCAATAAAACAGCGCGTTTGGCACCATTCGTTTACATTTGACCCATACTGTTACAAGCCCCCTTTCTGGTCTAGGAGCAGGAAAGGAGGGTAACAAAAAGTTGCAGGGAGAGAGTGAGAGATTTGACCCATAAACATCTGCTATTAACGGAAATCAGTGAGGTCAAATGGCTAGGCGCATTGTAGAAACTATAGGCCTATTAAGTATAGTCAGAGACTATTTATATAGAGACATGCCACTTCATCAATCCTTAATACAACTATATAGGGAAAACCTGTAACGCCAAAGATGGCGGTTGTATGCACATGCCCCGCCCCTCCCGCTGGAAAGCCAATCGTCTGCTTTTAACAGTCAAGCCGGGAAACATTTAACCCTATCGTCTGGTTCCACTGACGCATGCGCACAGTTGAGGTTTGCGACAGCGCAAAATACGTTACTGTTTGAAAAGGCGGCAGATTTGATATGCAGTGTATGTGTGAGTTGTGTAATATCAGACATCAGAAGTCTCCCGCAGATTGGTAGCGGCTCCCTGATGCCCGCAAATTAGTTCAAATCTCCCGGAATCTAGAGCGAGTGAGCAAGAGCTCACACACACTGTGCTTCAAACCGTGTAGCGCGCGCACGACCGAGGGAGAGAACCCTTGCGCATGCGTAGTAAAAGTATAACCTGTGGGGAAAAGGCGTTTTAAACCTTATTTTGGGGCAAAGTCATCAAACTTTTTCAGCGATTTTTATCATATTTTACTGCTGTTTCTATACATGCAGTTTTTATGTCCCGGTGACCAGTGAAACTGCAGTTCTGACTCTCTGCCCATTCATTTAGATAGGAGCCTGGTCTTGTTAGTCCGAAATAGCTGCCCGGAGGCGTTGCCAAGATGGCGGCCGAGTGGCATGACTTGCCTAAAAGGACTTTGGTATAGTCCTGACATATTATGGAATGGTCGATTTTCTTTTGTGCTATTTAGTACATTTCGGTATGGGATGTGCTGTTTTATTGGTCAGCGCGGCGCTGGTGAGATTGGTTCGCGCCGCTCTGACCATTGGCTGGCGCAAGCAAACACTTCTCCCTGCGCTGTCGAGTCTGTCGCGACTCGCGCGGCTCGGTCCATTGAGCCACGCAGATTATAAGTCAGCCCAGCGCGAAACTCTGTAACACACCGCGCCGTTTGTCCCACTTTCGGTGTGTTTGGCTTCCCACACTTATGTGTGTTTGTTTGTCAGAGCCTGCAGTTGCTGTGTGACGCGTGTTCGCGGTGGGCATGTCATGACGAGCTGGACGCGCTCCGAGAAAAGGCCGTTAACATCGATTCCCTATTCTCCTATTTGACCATTAAGAATTTCGAATAATGAGCGACTGAATGTAGGCTCATACAGACGTATTTCACAAGCAGCCGCGCCGCAGCCATCATCACCGAGCGCGAACCATTGACAGTGAATGAAACGAAGCGAACGCACAGGCTATGTGACATGCGTAAACCAATGGTGTAAACATAATCATAATAGATGACGCCACGGGTTTTTATTTAAAAGAAAGAACGTAGCCTACGCAATTTATATTCACAATACTTACTAATGTATATTATTTTATTGTATTTGTATTAGTTGTTTGAAGAGTAAAAAAAAATCGGTCGGTCTTAATGCAAGTTTACAACCGGCAAGTCGTTCGGACTAAAAGGAAAAAAAAAATAATAATTGGGTCGGTCCTAATTTGACAGGGTCGGTCGGGTTACGGCAAACAAGAATATTTTTAAGGATGGCCCCAGGGGTGATTTTCTGTATTGTCTTTAGATTCTTTTGTTTTAGCAGGCACTTCTAAGGCTGTGTGTAAGGTCAACACCTTTAAGGACTGCCCACTGAATGCCTATAAGATACCATGTAAAGTTCCCTTTAATCAGACTTGATGACTGCAGCTACCAACAGCTTGTGTTCTCAATAAAGAATCCTACTCTGTAAATGCATCTATAAATCTGCGAGTGCATCAGTTCAGAAGCTTAGAGAGAAAATGGCTGTAATCGAGTCACTTCTGCAGTTTCTCAGCACAGGTACATTACTGGGCGCGTTGCTGTTGCTTCTGGTTTTGTTTTTGCTTTCCACTGGATCCAGATCTCAGAAAGAGGGGAAAGAGCCACCGGGACCCAAACCTCTGCCGCTGCTGGGGAACCTGCTGACCCTTGACCTCAAGAGACCCTTTGACAACTTTTTTGAAGTGGGAACATGATACATTTAAAATGAATAGTGGTCTAACATTTTAAGATTTGTTTGTAAATGTCTTTCTCTGTGTCCTCCAGCTGTCCAAAACCTATGGAAACGTATTCCAAGTGTTTTTGGGTCCCAGGAAAACTGTGGTCTTAGTTGGGTACAAAACTGTCAAAGAAGCTCTCGTGAACTATGGAGAAGAGTTCGGCGACCGAAAAATTGAACCTGGTTTCACGATCACGCACAATGACCATGGTAGGATTTTCTGTTGTTGCTTTTTCAACTCTAATGAATGTATAGAAATGTAATGTACAGAACAAACTGTAAATTGCTAGACATGTTAAAAAACAAACATGTTGCAAATCCTTTCAGTTCCTCTCCAGGCCAATGTAATTGGGTTTAACTACTTAAGTATAAATGTGTTTTCATTAAATTTGACACTAATATGAGCTCATAATAAACAAGCACAAAACATTTGGGGGTGAACAACTTACTTTAACCATGAAACATCTAAAAATGCCTTTTTGTTGGCTTGGAAATGTGTGCTATATCTTTAAACAAGGAGTATATGTGGTATCCTTGCAATATTTGGTGACAAAATAGTTTTTTTATATATATTTTTAAATAACATATACATTTATAAATATACTGTAAAATCGAATTAGTTAGACTTACTTAAAAAAAACCATGCAAACTGATGTGATAAACTGATAAAAAAACAGGTGAAATAGGAATAGTAGTGTGTACTGACAAATTTACATTTGCTGATGGTTGTGGTTGAGGAGATTCCCACTTCCATGAGTAAAGCAATTTGAGTACCCAGAAAATCGCTATATAAATCGAACATATTATTATTATTATGACTGTTAAAACACGTCATCTGTGAAAAGGGTCTAATATACAATTGTTTTGTTTTACTTTTTATTTTATTTTTTATTTGCTTTAAAAAATCGTTATTGTTACAATTAATAAAAATAAATAACATTTCATTGTTTCCATTGTTTAGTTTGGGATGCAGAATACCAAATAACTGTGATTTCTTGTTGCATCACTGCATCAATATGAAGGGAATTACAATAATATTAATGAAGTTGCAGGGAACTAATCACCATAATGGTGAGTTCAAACAAAAACATTTTAGGAAAATCAACATCAATTTATGGAGTTAGCTTATGTGATATTCTCTCAAATTTTTCACTATATTGACAATTCAATATTCAAGATGACTTTGGGAAATGAGTGAGATAACTGCAGAAGTGAGAAAATAAGTCAAAAATCTATTAAAATTTGCCCGCCTCAAAACTATTTTTGCTTGACAAAGTGTCACTCAAACCAATACATTAATCTTAACTTGGGTTTTCTGAGTTAAAAAGTCATAGTATGTGAATAGTACAGATTACTAGATGTTTTACAATTAAGACATTAAGTAAAGTTAACTAAAAAGTGTTTGTTAGAACAACTGTTGGATTTTACAGTGTAGTCAGTGGTGAATTGACTTGTCGCTTATTAACCTGACATACAGTGTAAGCTTGCTTATATGCATTATATAAATCCCAAAAATAAGGTTAATGTATGTTTAACTCACAAAGTAATCATTTTCTGCTTGTGTTGTTGCTGAGACTCACGGTCAGATGTTCTGTGTTGATCAGGAGTCCTCTTTTCCAATGGAGAGAACTGGAGAGAGATGCGACGCTTCGCTCTCAGCAACCTGCGGGACTTCGGGATGGGCAAGAGAGGAAGTGAAGAGAAAATCATAGAGGAAATTCAGTATCTGAAAGGAGAGTTTGATAAGTTTGAAGGTACAAGCTGAAAAACATTTATGGACATCTGCAATCATGGATCCGTTGAGAGACATTTGTTTTCTCTTCACAGGGAAACCCTTCGAGACAACACAGCCTGTGAACTACGCTGTGGCAAACATCATCTCATCTATTGTGTACGGCAGCAGATTTGAATACACAGACCCTCAATTCACAGAAATGGTCGACAGGGCAACTGAAAGTGTTTGGATTTTGGGATCGGCTTCTATGATGGTATGGAAATATGTTTTACTGTATTTTTGGTGACTTATTTTTTTTTTTTTATCATTAAAGGGAAAACATTATTTTTTCGGTGTATTTTACAGTATTTTACAATGGTATTTTACAATGGTACAGTATTTTACAATGGTACAATATTTTACAATGGTAACATGCTTCATGCCGCAATGCATGCTGGGAGCCACAATAATATAAAACGTATGGCTCCCAGCATGCATTGCGGCTTGAAGCATGTTACCATTGTTGAGATTCATATGCTGATTCTTGATGTCTGTGCCTTGGAAAAAAAAATCCCCATAATGTATTTTAAAAGCCAAAAATCAGAATGTCCGATCTGTAGCAAGAGAGTATTGTTAGTGAATATAATGTATTAACATCATATAACCACTTTTGGACAGTGATGAGATAAGTGCATTATTCTATTTTTTGTTGTTGAAAACTATATCACCTGATCATAATTGTTTTTGGCAGTCTTTGTAACAAACTACATGTTATGATAAAGCCTGTTACAAAAACCACAAACTCAGAATAAAAGCCAAGAGTAAAATCTGACCAACTAAAGGAAACACTCGTCGCCATAATGGTGATCAAACATTTTAAATAAATCATCAACATCTAAACTTCTGTTAATTCTCAATAAGACCGGTTAGTAATAAGTGAAGCTGGTAATGCTGTTTGTGAAGTTGTTTAATCCTCCTCTGCTGAGAACTAGAGATATTTAATGTCTTTTGTCTACATTTGATTTCATCTAAGGCTGTGGCTAGAAGTCAGTTGTAGTTCTTGTGTTTATATTTTTTCTGTTCTTGTTGTTTCTCTTTCCTTCAGTGATTCTGCTTGTTGACAGCAGGTGTTCATCATTAATGCCCAATCATCACTTAATTAATCACTTAAGTATCTCATTAACTTTAACTCTGATTCAGAGTTATTTTAACTCTCTGTAGAAAGGGACCAAATGTTCTCTGAGCAGAGTTAATTTAACTCTGGGGATTTTGCTGTGTACAATCCTTTGGACAGGACCCAAATTTACGCTTTTTAAGTAAATTAAACTTGAAGTAATTAAGTAAAAATAACAAGAACAATAAACCTTTGTTATAAATACTTAAATACACAATTACACTCAAGTTCTCTAAGTAAACTCATTAAGTAAAGAATGTTGAGTATTGGTAACTCAATTTTACATTACGTATAATATATTGTATAGACTCATTACATGCAAAGTGAGATATCTCAAGCCTTTATTTGTTATAATGTTGATGATTATGCACTGTAAAACCCAACAAGTTAAGCTAACTTATTTCATTTGAGGAAACTGATTACCTCAATTAATTTAAGTTTATAAAAAACAATAGTTATGAGTACTCTGAACTTATTTTATTCAAGTTCACTAAAACAATAATATTTCTTAAAACACAATTAAACTTTACACTGCATTTAATACTGTATATAGGTGAAACTTAAAGGTTCTCTAAGCGATCCTGGGTGACGTCACTTCTTGTTGACGTTCGAACTATTGTCAAACAAAACGGAGGCTAGCTAGACCCTCCCTTCTCCTCATCCGCACACTAACCCCCCAAACCACACCCCCAAACCCTTCTTGTCGGTCATTGGCTGGAACAGTTTGTTATGTTTTGGGGAGCGGGTCGCTGCAGTTTGTTTTTGGTGCTGTTTGTGAAGCATGGGCTGTCTACAGAGATCGCGTTTCTTTACAGTGTGTTCAGGGGACAGGCAGCCAGCGGATAGTGAGGAGATGTTTGCTGTATGTGACAAAAAATGTTTTGGCCTAAAAAACACATGACATCGCTTAGAGCACCTTTAACTTTATTGAGTAAAAACAGTGAAATGACAAACTTTAAATGAAATGCAGTTACTGCTAGCTCACAATATCACACACAAAGTCAAATCCAATGAGTTAAGCTAACTCATTTCATTTGAGGAAACCGATTACCTTAATTCATTTAAGTTTATAAAAAACAATAGTTATGAGTACTCTGAAATTATTTCAGTTGAGTTCACTAAAAGTAGATATTGCAGTCAAGAAATTAAGTGATTAATTAAGTGATTGTTGAGCATTAGTGACAAACACCTGCTGTTAACATCACTGAAGGACAGAGAAACACAAGAATTACAACTGACTTCCAACCACAACATTAGATGAAATCAACTGAAGATAAAATGTTTAAATCTCTCAAGATCTCAGCAGAGGAGGATTGAACAACTCCACAAACAGCATTACCAGCTTCACTTATTACTAACCAGTGTGACTTTTATCATGCGTCTACAGAAGTTGTTATTGTGAATGAACAGAGGTTTAGATGAAGAGGATTTATTGAGTTTCATTTAAAGACACCATGATAGTGGTCAGTGTTTGCTTTAGTTGGGCTCTTGACCCTCAACTTTATAACACCAGTTTTTCCTTTGGCTGCTGTAACTGAGTGTTAATATAACACATTTGTTATGGCACAAAAGCCAAAAGAAAATTTTGTTTTGATGATGATTTATGGAATGATGAATCATCATTTGGTGTCTTGATTTTCTGATCTTTTCTAGAGAATGATCTCTGATTAAACAGGTGTTATATAACTTGTATTATTCATTATAAAAGAACTGTGATGCTGCTGTAAGGCCCATTGTTGTTACAATCAGATTTGAAAAACATCTATGGTATCATGCTGACTTACACAGACATCAAGAATCAGCATATGAATCTCAACAATGGTGACCATTAAAAAACGATTCATGCTGCAATGCATGCTGGGCGCCATGGATAAGGTTTGTATTATGGTAGTACCCAGCATGCATTGCAGTATGAATCGTATTTAATGGTCACCATTGTTGAGAATTATATGCTGATTCTTGATATCTGTGGTAGTTTTAGTAAAGAGTTACATTTTCTATAAAATCCTTCATACTATCTGATAGTCAAAACATCGCTAGTTATTATGATGTAGAATCTTAGTTTCAAATAAAACCAATAATATTTCCCCTTTTTTGTCAGAGACTAGACTCTGAATGAGGTCAGTGAATCAATTCATTAAGTGATGATTGTCATCATTAAACCTTGACCATCATCACCCGAACATACTTTTCCTTGGAATTTTGTGCCATATCAAATGTTTCATAAACATTCAATTACAGCAGCCATTGAAAAACTTGTACTCAAACGTCAAGGGTCAAGACCCCAACTAAAGCAAACGCTGATCTCCATCATGGTGACCTTAAACCTTGTATTTCTCTTTCCTTCAGTGATTCTGCTTGTTAACAGCAGGTGTTCATCACTAATGATCAATCATCACTTAATTGATGATTCATTAACTTAACTATGCAATTATTATTCAATTATCATTCTGGGATATAATGTTCTATAACTCATTCAGTTTGAGTTCTGTTTCAGTCATTCAACCCACTTCAAGTTTCGGTATTATTTGAGTGCAGTGAACTCAATTTAATTGAGTAAATAGCACTGTTAGGTTTTACAGTGTGCTTACAGCTAATGAAAACCCCAAATTCAAAATGAGAATATTGTGAAAACGTTTTCATAGCTGTAAGCCATAATCATCTAAATTATAACAAATAAAGACTTTAAACATCTCACTTTGCATGTAATGAGTCTATATAATACAGTATATTAGTTTCACCTTTTAAGTTGAATTACTGAAATTAACTTTTGCAAGATATTCAAATTTTCAAACCCGTTGATCCTGCTGTTTGAATTCTTTTGAGATAGGTCTGGTGGAGTTTCACAGCCAGGGGGGATTTTCTGTATTGTCTTTAGATGCTTTTGTTTCAGCAGGCACTTCTAAGGCTGTGTGTAAGGTCAACACCTTTAAGGACTGCCCACTGAATGCCTATAAGATACTATGTAAAGTTCCCGAATCAGACTTGATGACTGCAGCTACCAACAGCTTGTGTTCTCAATAAAGAATCCTGCTCTGTAAATGCATCTATAAATCTGTGAGTGCATCAGTTCAGAAGCTTAGAGAGAAAATGGCTGTAATCGAGTCACTTCTGCAGTTTCTCAGCACAGGTACATAACTGGGCACTTAGCTGTTGCTTCTGGTTTTGTATTTGCTTTCCTCTGGATCCAGATCTCAGAAAGAGGGGAAAAAGCCACTGGGACCTTAGACATCTGCGTCTTTTCAGTATGCTGTGGTTTCAGCTGTCTGCCCTATTATTGTGCTTGTGAACTTGGCTCGTCCCACGGATTTAGGCCGGACGCTGTGATTATCTATATAACCTGCTTGTAACAGCTGGTTTGATGTTGTATGCACCAATACACTTGTTGCTTCATTATTAGCACTACCCATGTGGCATAAATCCGCGTGTTCAGGGCGGTGCTGAATGCGCCGGCGCAGTTTTGGCACTCTGCAGCTAGATGCATGAGTGTTCCAACCAGGTCCGGTACCCGACCTGGGTGACGCGGGGCGCTAGTTCTTTGTTGTTTTCACCTGCTACGGCATGAGTAACATTTTTCTGTCAACTCTGCATATATCCTTTGTGATCGATATCGCACGTTTGTCGATGGATCGGGTTCAGACCAATAGCGGGTTCAAAGGCAGAATACTGTACAATCTGATATTATTTGATAGAACACTGGCACAGTAACTTCATATTGACCCACGGCTAAACGAAGGCAGAGTACCGTAACTCAATTTGAGCGTTCTAAAACAAAGCCAAAGAGCGGTAACTGGTGTTACGGTGTTCTGCCTTGGTTTTTTCATGGGCTTTTGGAAGTTACTGTTAAGTATTATTTCCAAGTATTATTTAAGTTTCCATTATTTTCTCGAAAAAACAACGACATTGACTCAAGATACTTGTCCACATGATAAAGCCTTTGCTGCCGTGCATCCTACCCATCCAGGATACAGAATGCTTGTCCCTTTCCTGGCTGGGAAGAGGTACAGGGCTATTAAGTCCAGGACAAACAGGTTAAAGCACATATTATTTTCCAAAGCTGTAGTTGCCCTTTGACATTCCATTAGACATTTATCGCAACACTCTCTAACAGCAGAAAAGGCTACATTGAATTTTTTTTAATATTTACTTTATATTCATAAATTATTGCATCACGCTTTTTAAGTAAATTAAACTTGAAGTAATTAAGTCATAATAACAAGAACAATAAACCTTTGTTATAAATAATTAAATATACAATTTCACTAAAAGTAAACTCATTAAGTAAAGAATGTTGAGTATGGTAACTAAATTTTACCTTACGTATAATATATTATATAGACTCATTTGGCATTAACATGCGACCTGATGTTGTCCACATACACATTGAAAAGACAAGTGTAAACGCACTTCTGATCGGAATGTTATCCGATCAGCGTGTTCAGGTTCAGAGGTAGTCGAGGACGCATTGTGATCAGATCTCAGTGTAATGTAAACGCAATCCAGCCATCGTGCCTGCATTCACAGGTGGACGTCATATAAATCCCCACCCAGTCTCCCCATGTGGCTGGCAGAAAATAATGGCCAGACGCAGTTTAGACAATCAATTAAACTTATTTCAACTTTAAAATAAACGTCAATCTTTAAAACAGTTTATTTAGACTTGCATGATACTATGTGTGTCATTTTTCATCTTAATTGTGCAACATTATCTGAACGAGGCAATCACCTGCACAATCACAGTCAGTCATGAGATCTTAATGAAGAGCTGCACGCTGCTTTGCCAGAGGAATAATCGGAATCTGAATTTTTTAATGTTTTAAACATTCAATGTTTTTATTGTTTCAGCACGTTCATCAATCTCCCATTTCTGTCAATATAGTCATTGCACGCTAACCTTCAACCCAGATGATCGATGATGTGACTTGTTTAACATGATCAACCCAGTTATTTTTGTATGATCAACTCTGGAAGTATTCCTTCGTTCAAAAAACTTAATTTGATCTAAGACTGGAGATTGCACAGGAAAGTAAATTGAGTGAGTGAAAGCAATTCATTGTTTAATTTGTATCATCTTTACTCATAATCTGGTGTCGTGCCACAGACCTGATTTAAATATTATGCAGGAAACAGAAATCCGATCGGTTATCCAGATACAGAGGTTACTTAATGTGAACAAATGTAAACGCGCAATGTCCTGATTGGCTAATGATCCGATCTGCTTGATCGGATCACGGTGATCGCATGTTAATGCCAAGTGTAAACGCAGCCTATAATACAGTAGCCTATATTAGTTTCACCTTTTAAGTTGAATTACTGAAATAAATGAACTTTTGCAAGATATTCTAATTTTTCGGGTTTCACCTGTATTGTCAAACCCGTTGATCCTGTTTGAATTCTTTTGAGATAGGTCTGGTGGAGTTTCACAACCAGGGGTGATTTTCTGTATTGTCTTTAGATGCTTTTGTTTTAGCAGGCACTTCTAAGGCTGTGTGTAAGGTCAACACCTTTAAGGACTGCCCACTGAATGCCTATAAGATACCATGTAAAGTTCCCTTTAATCAGACTTGATGACTGCAGCTACCAACAGCTTGTGTTCTCAATAAAAGAATCCTACTCTGTAAATGCATCTATAAATCTGCGAGTGCATCAGTTCAGAAGCTTAGAGAGAAAATGGCTGTAATCGAGTCACTTCTGCAGTTTCTCAGCACAGGAACATTACTGGGCGCGTTGCTGTTGCTTCTGGTTTTGTTTTTGCTTTCCACTGGATCCAGATCTCAGAAAGAGGGGAAAGAGCCACCGGGACCCAAACCTCTGCCGCTGCTGGGGAACCTGCTGACCCTTGACCTCGAGAGACCCTTTGACGCCTTTTGTGAGGTGGGAACTTGATACGTTTAAAATGAATAGTGGTCTAACATTTTAAGATTTGTTTGTAAATGTCTTTCTCTGTGTCCTCCAGCTGTCCAAAACCCACGGAAACATATTCCAAGTGTTTTTGGGTCCCAGAAAAATAGTTGTCTTAATTGGGTACAAAACTGTCAAAGAGGCTCTCGTGAACTATGCAGAAGAGTTCGGCGACCGAAAAATTGAACCTGGTTGCAGGATAACGCACAACGGACATGGTAGGATTTTTTTTTTTTTTTTTTTCAACTCTAATGAATGTATAGAAATGTAATGTACAGAACAAACTGTAAATATTAGACATGTTGAAAAACAAACATGTTGCAAATCCTTTCAGTTCCTCTCCAGGCCAATGTAATTGGGTTTAACATCTGAACTATAAATGTTTTTTCATTACATTTTACACTAATATGAGCTCATAATAAACAAGCACAAAACATTTGGGGGTGAACAAATTACTTTAACCACGAAAAATCTAAAAATGCCTTTTTGTTGGCTTGCAAATGTGTGCTATATCTTTAAACAAGGAGTAGGCTATATGTGGTTTCCTAGCAATATTTGGTGACAAACTTGTTTTTTATATATTTTTAAGTAACATATACAGTTATAAATATACTGTAAAATCTAATTAGTTAGACTTACTTAAAAAAGCATACAAACTGATTGCCTTAAAAAAACAGGTGAAATAGGAATAGTAGTGTGAACTGACAAATTTACATTTGCTGATGGTCGTGGTTGAGGAGATTCCCACTTCCATGAGTAAAGCAATTTGAGTACCCAGAAAATCGCTATATAAATGTAACAAATTATTATTACTATTATTATTATTATGACTGTTAAAACATGTCATCTGTGAAAAGGGTCTAATATACAATTGCTTTATTTGACTATTTTTGTTTTGTTTTGTTTTATTCGCTTTAAAAATAGTTGTTACAATTAATAAAAATAAATAACATTTCATTGTTTCCATTGTTTTGTTTTGCATGCAGAATACCAAATAACTGTGATTTCTTGTTGCATCACTGCATCAATAGGAAGAGAATTAGAATAATATAAATGAAGTTGCAGGGAATTAATAACCATAATGGTGAGTTCAAACAAAAACATTTTAGGAAAATCAACATCAATTTATGGAGTTAGCTTATGTGATACTCTCTCAAATTTGTCACTATATTGACAATTCAACATTCAAGATGACTTTGGGAAATGAGTGAGATAACTGCAGAAGTGAGGAAATAAGTGTATATTTTATAAATAAATAAATAAATAAATAAATAATCTATTAAAAACTTGGGTTTTCTGAGTTAAAAAGTCATAGTATGTGAATAGTACAGATTACTAGATATGTACAATTAAGGTAAGACGTTAAGTAAAGTTAATTAAAAAGTGTTTGTTAGAACAACTGTTGGATTTTACAGTGACTTGTTGCTTATTAAATTGACATACAGTGAAAGCTTGCTTATGTGCATTATATAAGTCCCAAAGGTCTAAGGTTAATGTATGTTTAACTCACAAAGTAATCATTTTCTGCTTGTGTTGTTGCTGAGACTCACGGTCAGATGGTTCTGTGTTGATCAGGAATCCTCTTTTCCAATGGAGAGAACTGGAGAGAGATGCGACGCTTCGCTCTCAGCAACCTGCGGGACTTCGGGATGGGCAAGAGAGGAAGTGAAGAGAAAATCATAGAGGAAATTCAGTATCTGAAAGGAGAGTTTGAAAAGTTTGAAGGTACAAGCTGAAACACATTTATGGACATCTGCAATCATGCTCTTAGTTTAAAGGATCCGTTAAGACACATTTGTTTTCTCTTCACAGGGAAACCCTTCGATACAACACAGCCTGTGAACTACGCTGCGGCAAACATCATCTCATCTATTGTGTACGGCAGCAGATTTGAATACACAGACCCTCAATTCACAGAAATGGTCGATATGACAAATGAAAATGTTCGAGTTAGTGGATCGGTTTCTATGATGGTATGGAAGTATGTTTTACTGTATTTTTGGTGACTTCATTTTTTTTTTTTTAATCATTAAAGGGTTAATTCACCCAAAAATGAAAATTATGTCAGTAATCCAATAGCGTCTGGCTGCAGACAAGTGACGTCACTTGCACTCTCGGACTTGCACGCTCAGACACGAGCGCTTCCTCTGCAAGTGACGTTACTTGCACTCTCAGACACGAGCGCTTCCTCTGCAAGTGACGTCACTTGCACTCTCAGACACGAGCGCTTCCTCTGCAAGTGACGTCACTTGCACTCTCAGACACGAGCTCTTCCGCTGCAAGTGACGTCACTTGCACTCTCAGACACGAGCGCTTCCGCTGCAAGTGACGTCACTTGCACTCTCAGACACGAGCGCTTCCTCTGCAAGTGACGTCACTTGCACTCTCAGACACGAGCGCTTCCGCTGCAAGTGACGTCACTTGCACTCTCAGACACGAGCGCTTCCGCTGCAAGTGACGTCACTTGCACTCTCAGACACGAGCGCTTCCGCTGCAAGTGACGTCACTTGCACTCTCAGACACGAGCGCTTCCTCTGCAAGTGACGTCACTTGCACGCTCAGACACGAGCGCTTCCGCTGCAAGTGACGTCACTTGCACTCTCAGACACGTGCGCTTCCTCTGCAAGTGACGTCACTTGCACTCTCATACACGAGCGCTTCCTCTGCAAGTCACGTCACTTGCACTCTCAGACACGAGCGCTTCCGCTGCAAGTGACGTCACTTGCACTCTCAGACACGAGCGCTTCCGCTGCAAGTGACGTCACTTGCACTCTCAGACACGAGCGCTTCCTCTGCAAGTGACGTCACTTGCACTCTCATACACGAGCGCTTCCTCTGCAAGTGACGTCACTTGCACTCTCAGACACGAGCGCTTCCTCTGCAAGTGACGTCACTTGCACTCTCAGACACGAGCGCTTCCGCTGCAAGTGACGTCACTTGCACTCTCAGACACGAGCGCTTCCGCTGCAAGTGACGTCACTTGCACGCTCAGACACGAGCGCTTCCGCTGCAAGTGACGTCACTTGCACTCTCAGACACGAGCGCTTCCGCTGCAAGTGACGTCACTTGCACTCTCAGACACGTGCGCTTCCTCTGCAAGTGACGTCACTTGCACTCTCAGACACGAGCGCTTCCGCTGCAAGTGACGTCACTTGCACTCTCAGACACGAGCGCTTCCGCTGCAAGTGACGTCACTTGCACTCTCAGACACGAGCGCTTCCGCTGCAAGTGACGTCACTTGCACTCTCAGACATGAGCGCTTCCGCTGCAAGTGACGTCACTTGCACTCTCAGACACGAGCGCTTCCTCTGCAAGTGACGTCACTTGCACTCTCAGACACGAGCTCTTCCGCTGCAAGTGACGTCACTTGCACTCTCATACACGAGCGCTTCCTCTGCAAGTGACGTCACTTGCACGCTCAGACACGAGCGCTTCCGCTGCAAGTGACGTCACTTGCACTCTCAGACACGAGCGCTTACGCTGCAAGTGACGTCACTTGCACTCTCAGACACGAGCTCTTCCGCTGCAAGTGACGTCACTTGCACTCTCAGACACGAGCGCTTCCTCTGCAAGTGACGTCACTTGCACTCTCAGACACGAGCACTTCCGCTGCAAGTGACGTCACTTGCACTCTCAGACACCAGCGCTTCCTCTGCAAGTGACGTTACTTGCACTCTCAGACACGAGCGCTTCCTCTACAAGTGACGTCACTTGCACTCTCAGACACGAGCGCTTCCGCTGCAAGTGACGTCACTTGCACTCTCATACACGAGCGCTTCCTCTGCAAGTGACGTTACTTGCACTCTCAGACACGAGCGCTTCCTCTACAAGTGACGTCACTTGCACTCTCATACACGAGCGCTTCCTCTGCAAGTGACGTCACTTGCACTCTCAGACACGAGCGCTTCCGCTGCAAGTGACGTCACTTGCACTCTCATACACGAGCGCTTCCTCTGCAAGTGACGTCACTTGCACTCTCAGACACGAGCGCTTCCGCTGCAAGTGACGTCACTTGCACTCTCAGACACGTGCGCTTCCTCTGCAAGTGACGTCACTTGCACTCTCAGACACGAGCGCTTCCGCTGCAAGTGACGTCACTTGCACTCTCAGACACGAGCGCTTCCTCTGCAAGTGACGTCACTTGCACTCTCAGACACGAGCGCTTCCTCTGCAAGTGACGTCACTTGCACTCTCAGACACGAGCGCTTCCGCTGCAAGTGACGTCACTTGCACTCTCAGACACGAGCGCTTCCGCTGCAAGTGACGTCACTTGCACTCTCAGACACGAGCGCTTCCTCTGCAAGTGACGTCACTTGCACTCTCAGACACGAGCGCTTCCTCTGCAAGTGACGTCACTTGCACTCTCAGACACGAGCGCTTCCGCTGCAAGTGACGTCACTTGCACTCTCAGACACGAGCGCTTCCGCTGCAAGTGACGTCACTTGCACTCTCAGACACGAGCGCTTCCTCTGCAAGTGACGTCACTTGGACTCTCAGACACGAGCGCTTCCTCTGCAAGTGACGTCACTTGCACTCTCAGACACGAGCGCTTCCTCTGCAAGTGACGTCACTTGCACTCTCATACACGAGCGCTTCCTCTGCAAGTGACGTCACTTGCACTCTCAGACACGAGCGCTTCCTCTGCAAGTGACGTCACTTGCACTCTCAGACACGAGCGCTTCCGCTGCAAGTGACGTCACTTGCACTCTTAGACACGAGCGCTTCCTCTGCAAGTGACGTCACTTGCACTCTCAGACACGAGCGCTTCCTCTGCAAGTGATGTCACTTGCACTCTCAGACATGAGCGCTTCCTCTGCAAGTGACGTCACTTGCACTCTCAGACACGAGCGCTTCCGCTGCAAGTGACGTCACTTGCACTCTCATACACGAGCGCTTCCTCTGCAAGTGACGTCACTTGCACTCTCAGACATGAGCGCTTCCTCTGCAAGTGACGTCACTTGCACTCTCAGACATGAGCGCTTCCTCTGCAAGTGACGTCACTTGCACTCTCAGACACGAGCGCTTCCGCTGCAAGTGACGTCACTTGCACTCTCAGACACGAGCGCTTCCTCTGCAAGTGACGTCACTTGCACTCTCAGACACGAGCTCTTCCGCTGCAAGTGACGTCACTTGCACGCTCAGACACGAGCGCTTCCGCTGCAAGTGACGTCACTTACTTGCACGCTCAGACACGAGCGCTTCCGCTGCAAGTGACGTCACTTGCACTCTCAGACACGAGCGCTTCCTCTGCAAGTGACGTCACTTGCACTCTCAGACACGAGCGCTTCCTCTGCAAGTGACGTCACTTGCACTCTCAGACACGAGCGCTTTCCGCTGCAAGTGACGTCACTTGCACTCTCAGACACGAGCGCTTCCGCTGCAAGTGACGTCACTTGCACTCTCAGACACGAGCGCTTCCGCTGCAAGTGACGTCACTTGCACTCTCAGACACGAGCGCTTACGCTGCAAGTGACGTCACTTGCACTCTCAGACACGAGCGCTTACGCTGCAAGTGACGTCACTTGCACTCTCAGACACGAGCGCTTACGCTGCAAGTGACGTCACTTGCACTCTCAGACACGAGCGCTTCCGCTGCAAGTGACGTCACTTGCACTCTCATACACGAGCGCTTCCTCTGCAAGTGACGTCACTTGCACTCTTAGACACGAGCGCTTCCTCTGCAAGTGACGTCACTTGCACTCTCATACACGAGCGCTTCCTCTGCAAGTGACGTCACTTGCACTCTTAGACACGAGCGCTTCCGCTGCAAGTGACGTCACTTGCACTCTCAGACACGAGCGCTTCCGCTGCAAGTGACGTCACTTGCACTCTCAGACACGAGCGCTTCCTCTGCAAGTGACGTCACTTGGACTCTCAGACACGAGCGCTTCCTCTGCAAGTGACGTCACTTGCACTCTCAGACACGAGCGCTTCCTCTGCAAGTGACGTCACTTGCACTCTCATACACGAGCGCTTCCTCTGCAAGTGACGTCACTTGCACTCTCAGACACGAGCGCTTCCTCTGCAAGTGACGTCACTTGCACTCTCAGACACGAGCGCTTCCGCTGCAAGTGACGTCACTTGCACTCTTAGACACGAGCGCTTCCTCTGCAAGTGACGTCACTTGCACTCTCAGACACGAGCGCTTCCGCTGCAAGTGACGTCACTTGCACTCTCAGACACGAGCGCTTCCTCTGCAAGTGACGTCACTTGCACTCTCAGACACGAGCGCTTCCGCTGCAAGTGACGTCACTTGCACTCTCATACACGAGCGCTTCCTCTGCAAGTGATGTCACTTGCACTCTCAGACATGAGCGCTTCCTCTGCAAGTGACGTCACTTGCACTCTCAGACATGAGCGCTTCCTCTGCAAGTGACGTCACTTGCACTCTCAGACACGAGCGCTTCCTCTGCAAGTGACGTCACTTGCACTCTCAGACATGAGCGCTTCCTCTGCAAGTGACGTCACTTGCACTCTCAGACACGAGCGCTTCCGCTGCAAGTGACGTCACTTGCACTCTCATACACGAGCGCTTCCTCTGCAAGTGATGTCACTTGCACTCTCAGACATGAGCGCTTCCTCTGCAAGTGACGTCACTTGCACTCTTAGACACGAGCGCTTCCTCTGCAAGTGACGTCACTTGCACTCTCAGACACGAGCGCTTCCTCTGCAAGTGATGTCACTTGCACTCTCAGACATGAGCGCTTCCTCTGCAAGTGACGTCACTTGCACTCTCAGACATGAGCGCTTCCTCTGCAAGTGACGTCACTTGCACTCTCATACACGAGCGCTTCCTCTGCAAGTGACGTCACTTGCACTCTCATACACGAGCGCTTCCGCTGCAAGTGACGTCACTTGCACTCTTAGACACGAGCGCTTCCTCTGCAAGTGACGTCACTTGCACTCTCAGACATGAGCGCTTCCTCTGCAAGTGACGTCACTTGCACTCTCAGACATGAGCGCTTCCTCTGCAAGTGACGTCACTTGCACTCTTAGACACGAGCGCTTCCTCTGCAAGTGACGTCACTTGCACTCTCAGACATGAGCGCTTCCTCTGCAAGTGACGTCACTTGCACTCTTAGACACGAGCGCTTCCTCTGCAAGTGACGTCACTTGCACTCTCAGACATGAGCGCTTCCTCTGCAAGTGACGTCACTTGCACTCTCAGACATGAGCGCTTCCTCTGCAAGTGACGTCACTTGCACTCTCATACACGAGCGCTTCCGCTGCAAGTGACGTCACTTGCACTCTCATACACGAGCGCTTCCTCTGCAAGTGACGTCACTTGCACTCTTAGACACGAGCGCTTCCTCTGCAAGTGACGTCACTTGCACTCTCAGACATGAGCGCTTCCTCTGCAAGTGACGTCACTTGCACTCTCAGACATGAGCGCTTCCTCTGCAAGTGACGTCACTTGCACTCTCATACACGAGCGCTTCCGCTGCAAGTGACGTCACTTGCACTCTCAGACATGAGCGCTTCCTCTGCAAGTGACGTCACTTGCACTCTTAGACACGAGCGCTTCCTCTGCAAGTGACGTCACTTGCACTCTTAGACACGAGCGCTTCCGCTGCAAGTGACGTCACTTGCACTCTCAGACATGAGCGCTTCCTCTGCAAGTGACGTCACTTGCACTCTCAGACATGAGCGCTTCCTCTGCAAGTGACGTCACTTGCACTCTCAGACATGAGCGCTTCCTCTGCAAGTGACGTCACTTGCACTCTCATACACGAGCGCTTCCTCTGCAAGTGACGTCACTTGCACTCTCATACACGAGCGCTTCCTCTGCAAGTGACGTCACTTGCACTCTCAGACATGAGCGCTTCCTCTGCAAGTGACGTCACTTGCACTCTCAGACATGAGCGCTTCCTCTGCAAGTGACGTCACTTGCACTCTCATACACGAGCGCTTCCTCTGCAAGTGACGTCACTTGCACTCTCATACACGAGCGCTTCCGCTGCAAGTGACGTCACTTGCACTCTCAGACACGAGCGCTTCCTCTGCAAGTGACGTCACTTGCACTCTCAGACACGAGCGCTTCCTCTGCAAGTGACGTCACTTGCACTCTCAGACACGAGCGCTTCCTCTGCAAGTGACGTCACTTGCACTCTCATACACGAGCGCTTCCGCTGCAAGTGACGTCACTTGCACTCTCAGACACGAGCGCTTCCTCTGCAAGTGACGTCACTTGCACTCTCAGACACGAGCGCTTCCGCTGCAAGTGACGTCACTTGCACTCTCAGACACGAGCGCTTCCTCTGCAAGTGACGTCACTTGCAATCGACGCCTGCTCTCTACGGAACGCGATAAACGAAATGCGTGAAATTTGACCGCGTCAACACGCAGTGTTTGTCCGCGGCAATTTTTTACGTGTTTCTTTTGAACGCGTAGACACGCTCATTTTGATCGTGTTAAGGTGTCATTTGTCATTTTGTTGACAGTTTTTTTCAAATTGCTAAAACACTACAAGTGGAATTTGAGGCTCACTCAGTGAAACCATTCACTCATGTACCCAATCTTTAGACCAAGCCTGCAAAAATACAAGGACATTATATGCTTTGCACTCAGTTTGCATTTGAAAAACAAACTATTTGCAAAACTCTAAACACATTTCTCTACATTACACACATCATTCAAAACTAACAGCTCTTGTGTTTCATTTGGGAAACACTGGCATTTAAATGCCACATTAATTTACTGATGACCTACAGCCAATAATCATGTGGGAAAACACTTGTACATAAATTGATCACTTAGAAATCAAAACTCAGTTATGAGAAAGAAAGAAATTATTTTTACTATTATTATATATTTAATTATTTTTAAATTATTTTCAAGACATTTTGGACAATTTCATGCTCCCAACTTTGTGGGAACAGTTTGTAGATGAAAAACATCAAGATGATGCATTTTTTTATTTTTATTGTAAATGTCAATTTACAGTACACAGTTAATGTGCAAAACAGACAAATACAAGGTACAAATAGACAATATACAATTAATATACAATATTCACTTTGCTCTAGTGTAGTTCGACAGTTTACCTTTAATTTCATGACATCGACGACATGTTCAAGAAACATTTGCATGTCATTCATTACAGTAAAGATGAAGCAAAAGGGTTCCAGAGCTTCGATTCTGTCCTGTGGAAACTCAGCCTTCTCTAATCTCTCAATGGCTTCCGCAACATCTTGTTCCTCCATACACACTACTTTGGGCAAATGAACAGATCCATGCAGTGCACTAGATTGATCCAAACACCACTTGCTGGCTATCTTCAAATCTGGCATCAATCGACTCTGTGAAATAACACGGAGAACAAGGGATTGCAAGTGACGTCAGAGCCGGTAGCGGAGAGCAGGTGTCGACTGCAAGTGACGTCACTTGCAACGGAAGCGCTCGTGTCTGAGCGTGCAAGTCTGAGCATGCAAGTCTGAGAGTGCAAGTCTGCAGCCAGACCCTTCTCCAGTAATTACTCACCCTCATGTCGTTCCAAACCCGTAAGACCTTCGTTCATCTTTGGAACACATATTAACATAATTTTGATGAAATCCGATGGCTCAGGGGGGGCTCCATTGACAGCTATTTAATGAACACTTTGAAGGTCCAGAAAGGTAGGAAAGACATCATTAAAATAGTCCATGTAACTACAGTTGTTCAACCTTAATTTTATGAAGCGACGAGAATACTTTTTGGCGCCAAAATAACGACTTTATTCAACAATTTCTTCTCTTTCGTATCAGTCTCCGACACGCGTTCATGAGGGCACCATGACGTATGCGTGACCTCGCGTGTGTCTTCTTCTGCTTGTAAACACAGCCCTGTGTTTCCTGGTCACATGTCAGAACGCCAGCTCCTGCGTCATAACCAAACGCATGCGTCATGGTGCTCTCTGAATTAAGTCGTTATTTTGTTTATTTGCTCTCAAAAAGTATTCTCGTCGCTTCATAAAATTAAGGTTGAACCACTGTAGTCACATGGACTATTTTAATGATGTCTTTCCTACCTTTTTGGACCTTCAAAGTGTTCATTAAATAGCTGTCAATGGAGCCCCCCTGATCCATCGGATTTCATCAAAAATATCTTAATCTGTGTTCTGAAGATGAACGAAGGTCTTACGGGTTTGGAACGACATGAGGGTGAGTAATTACCGACAGAATTTTCCTTTTTGGTGAACTAACCCTTTAATACATGCATTTTTTTTCTCTGTGTTGCAGCTTTATAATACATTTCCGTGGTTGGGTCCGTTCCTCAACAGCAAAAGGATTATTGTAAGAAATGCGTTGAAACTTAGAGCAGAAATGACGAAGTTGATCACTGGACTGCTGGAGACTCTGAATCCACACGACCGCAGAGGGATTGTCGACTCCTTTCTCATCCGCAAACAGAGCGACGAGGTACAGAAATCACCTTGTTCCATAGAAATTCTCCTAAAATAAAAAGTAATCATCAGCTTTGACTAATAAACAAAATTATTTAATTAATTATTAGGCATAGTTTTAGAATATTTTTTGCATATTTAATTTTCATTTAATAATTAACAATGAAAAAATACGGTAACGCTTTAGATTATAGCCCGGAAAGTATACTGTGTAATTAAGAGGAATTTACAGAGTAACTTTCGGTAATTATAGTGTACCTATAAAGTACTTGTATGTAAGTATAAGGGAACAATATGTAAAGTTTGGGGAATAAAGGGGTAACAACCAGGAGAATTAAAAAAATATTTATACTGTAAGTATTATAGAACTAAGGGGTACTTATTCTACTATTATGATACAACAATCTTACATTTGGGAGCAATTTAGCGAGAACATACACTGCGTACATTTTTGTAATAATTGTGTACCATACTGTATAGTCTTTTTAAGATTACAGGGTACATATCTTGGCATTTATACTTTATTTTTTAATAGCAAAAGTGCAGATGTTTAAATTTGGGCTAAAATGTTTCAAGAAAAGCTAAGACTATTGCAATTTTTTTAAATACTGGGAAATATATCTTGTTTCATGTGGTTAAAGGGTAAGTGGTGCTTGTATAATAAATAAAGGTCAGTGATATAAAATATTCCGAGTCAGTGATATAAGATTGCGTATGCATTTTTATTGTACTTACCCTTTAACTACACGGAACAAGGGGGTAACAAGCACCACATGAACTTTCCCCAATATTTAAGCAGAAGTTGCAATAGTTTTCGTTTTCAGTGCACTTTTGTTAAAAAGATTACTTTATAAATGCATAGATACCCTGTAATTTAAAAAAGCCTATACAGTATGTACTGGTTCACCATTATTTCAAAAAGGCAGTGTATGTTCTTGCTAAATTGCTCCGACGTGTAAGATTGTTATATCATAATAGTAGAATAAGAACCCCTTAGTTATATAATACTTACAGTATAAATAATTTTTTAATTCTCCTGGTTGTTACCCCTTTATTCCCAAAACTTAAAATATTGTTCCCTTATACTTATATTGTAAGTACGTTATAGGTACACTATAATTACCGAAGGTTACGCTGTAAAATTGCTTTAATTACGCAGTACTTTCTGGGCTGTAATCTAAAGCGTTACCAAAAATACTTCTAAAGCATTAAAAGTGAATATTATTTAATAAGCCACAGGTTAACATGAACTAAACATGAACTAACAATAAACAGTTGTATTTTTCCTAAGACTGGCCACACACTTGAAGATTTTAAGCCTGAATTTGGGCCTGATTTGCGCCCCCAATAGGGTGTGTGACCCGATTCAAGGTTTCTCATAAACGACTTTTTGTCCAAAAAATCCTCAATTATGTGGTGTCGTTACGATTCTTTTACTGCTCCTGATCGCGTCGCAGCCCGCACAATCTCAAATCATAAATATCAAACATGTTCTCATAACTCTTGATCGGGGCTGGCTCTGATGTGATACCCGCGATAGCCAATGAGAGCGAGCAAACCTAACCAACCGGATGTTGCGTGCTTCTATAGCTGAAACTTGGCAGCTTGCCAGGAGAACCAGCTGACGACGTTGATCGTCCTCCATTTGTTTTTGTTTTTCTCAAGTCACGTTTGATGAGATATCGTCTCACTGTGAAAATGTTACTACAATCGACAGGTTTGTGTGGTCTCGCGGTCCGGGACGAATATTCGAGTGTGTGCATTCAGAAGATTATAATGCTAAAAATCGGTTGAAACTGCCCTTATGGCTGTGGTCTCCCACAGTTTTAAAATTGGTTAAGATTTGAAAGTCGTCTAGTGCAGGGGTTATCAAAGTGTGGGGCGTGCCTCCCCAGGGGGGCGCCAGAGCATGCCAGGGGAGGGGTGGAGAGTGGTAAAAATGATAGCCTAATAATTAGTTTAAATTAATAAATTTAAAAAGTTACATTTTTATTATTCTGAAATAAGGCCTCGTTTACACTGCAGGTCTTGATGCCAAATTCTGATTTGTTACCTTAATCCGATTTTTTGACCGTCCGTTTACACCGTGTTACCGTTTATCCGATTCATGTGTTTACACTTGCCATATATAGTCCAGTCATTTTATGAAAAAAAGGTTGAACAAATTGCAACAAAAGCAAACTCAACTGATTTTGTATCCTCAATATGTCCTGAGTAAGGGGAAAAAAGCCCCGAAGAATCCCATTAGGGGAAAGTTTAGAAAAAGACCCAAATATAGCATATTCATACGCATATTCATTATTTTTCTCGCGTGAATAGGGTAACATTTTTAAACTTTAGATATCATCATGAAATTACTGAGTTTATTACTTACATCAAGACAAACAAAAAATGTATTACAAGTTTTTTTTAATTGTTTATTAACATGGGCTAACGGTGCATAATCTAATTACGTATGTGCTAATTTGCATAAATACCACAACAGGTCTAAACATTGGATATAGCCAGGTGAAAATGTCTTGTTGAATCTTGTTGACATATAACAGTAAAATACTTAATGCTAAGGTCTGAATGGAACCTATTTAGGCTACCCATGAGCATTAATACATAGAGAGGCAGGAAGAAGTACTTTAGAAACCAGCCTTTATTAATTATTATTGCAGAGATGGGGTTTGGGGCTGGGTCCGTGGGACTGTTTCTGGGGGATGAGTCTGAGGGAAGAACAGGAGACATCCCAGACAGCAACATAGTGTCGGCCCATATCCGGCCTACATCTGGTATACACGTGGATTCCACAAGGCCCAGATGTGGGCCGGATCTGGGCCGACACTATATTGCTGTCTGGGATGGGTAAGGAGAATGCAGAAGACAAAAGGTAGGTAAAATAAAAAGTGTCTGGATCAAACAATCAAATTAATCCATGTAGGAGAAACAAAAGGAAATCTTTCTTACCTGAGTGACAGCTTAGAGACAGTTGAGTGGACCTTGAATGAATGACTGAATCTCTGCCCCTTATGGTGACATTTGTTTGCCTCTATAGTCTTTTACTGTAAGATGTCAACACGATTCTACAAGACATTTTCACCTGGCTATACCCAATGTTTAGATCTGTTGTGGTATTTATGCAAATTAGCACATACGTAATTAGATTATGCACGTTTGCCCATGTTAACAAAAATTAAAAAAAAACTTGTGATACATTTTGTGTTTGTCTTGATGTAAGTAATCAACTAAATGCAAGAGGCAAGTCATTTTCATGATGATATCAAAAGGTTAAAAATTCTACCCTATTCACGTAAGAAAAATGATGAATAGGCGTATGAATAGGTTATATTTGGGTCTTTTTCTAAACTTTCCCCTAATGGGATTCTTCTGGGCTTTTTTTTATTATTATTCAGGACATATTGAGGATACAAAATCAGTTGAGTTTGCTTCTGTTGAAATTTGTTCTTTTGACCCCCATTTTGGCTAAAAGGACAACTCCGGCGCAAAATGAACCTTTGGTCTAATAACACATTGGTACCTAGTCAACCGTTCTCAGAGATTTGTTTTCATGATAATTGTATAGTATATAGGGCATAGAGTAATGAAATATAAAAATCGCTAGTTAATACCACTAACAAGGCTCAAAATAGCCCCACACTTACACGGTAGCATAATGAGGGTCCCTACATGCAAACCGAAGCATTGAGAACTTTGTAAGTGTACAGACAGTTTAGAAGTTATAAGAAGATATTTTATAAAGACAGTCCACTTCGTGTATACAGGCAGGAGCAATCTTTGGAAAACAGTCTCGACCAGTCGAACCACGAATGCACGCCAAGTGAGGTGGTCGATCGGAATTACGTTTGTGAAATCTAATTACATGGAAGTGCATGAATAATCTATTTAAGTCTGCACTGGCTGGGGAGAGGGAGGCCAAGAGGTTTTTCGGTCATTCATGCAGATCAATGAGCACTTACAGCTGGCGATGCAAACTAAAATCACGCAATATTTGCTCTATATATCAGAAATAATTGCACCGATTTAAAACATAACTTGTCTAGTGTAATTACTCAGTGGATAACTGTCCATATGGTCCCTCCGGTATCGGGTCAAGTCAAGACAAATATATTTATATAGCGCTTTTCACAATACAGATTGTATCAAAGCTGCTTCACAGTATCAATCAAAACAACTTAACAGTGTTTGTTAATTACTGGAAAAGACATCTAAGTTTGGTAGAGCTGATCAGTGGTGTGATGGGTCACCACCTCCAATTTATTTTCGGGACATGGAAAAAAGTTTCAAGTAGAGCCTTGTTTATCAGAGCGGGGAAATCTTCAGACTGCACTGTTAACAATTTATTGTAATTTTACAGGAAATTCCTGGCAACTAATTGCAGTAAATTTACAGCAAGTAATATACAGGATTTTTACTGTTTGCAGTAAAAAAAATGTACAATAAAGTACTGTATTTATACAGCAGTGCTACTGTGATTATAGTAGCATTATTACAGTAAAATGCTGTAATTTATTACAATTTACTGTACATTTACTAAGTTCCGTATTAGCCAATTAAAAACACAACAATGGTACAAATTTACCATTGTACAATTTTTGGCACCATTATGGTGAACAGTGTTGCCTTTAGTTGGGCAATTTGACTCTAGACTTCTTATGTGAATTTATGGTCATCATACATCATTTGTTGCAAAGAAAGTCAGAAACAAAAGTGGTCTGGTGATAGGCGTATAGTTTACAACATAATAAAATACAAAAAAACAACCGAAATTGGTTTTGTTATTAATAGATTTTTTTTCAACAACATGCATTTTTTTATACAGATCAGACATCAAGCTGATATTTTTTTCTAAAATTGGGAATGTAATATTTGGACACACACACAGACATCAAGAATCTACATATGAATCTCAACAGTGGTGACATGCTTTATGCCGCAATGCATTCTGGGAGGCTACATAGTTTAAAACTCCCAGCATGCATTGTAGCATTAAGCATGTCACCATATGCTGAT